GGCTCGCTTTATTGTCTCTCGGGGCCGCCGTTAGGTCGCTCTTGCGGTGAGCAGCCGCCCTCAAAGCAGAAGGGGGGTTGCTGAGCAAGACATGGAGAGGTGATGGACGGTTTGGCCATGGGTCAGGCTGCCCTGAGCAGCCGCCCTCAAAGCAGAAGGGGGGTTGCTGAGCAAGACATGGAGAGGTGATGGACGGTTTGGCCATGGGTCAGGCTGCCCTGGGGGGTCCGAGCGCTTCCTAGGCTGTGTGTCCCCACCAAGTCTGCCAGCAGCTCTGGGGAGAGCAAGGCCCCTCTGCCCCTACCCAGCCCCACTCAGAGAGCGCTAGGGAGCTGTATCAGCCGGCTGCAGGGGTGCAGCAGGCTGGGTCCCCCGGCCAGGTGTGCCATACGGCCAGGGCAGGCCAGCGGCCCGTTGGGCTGGTGCCAGGGGCAGGGCAGCAGCAAGTCAGATGCACAGTGGCCAGGAGGGTGGGACTCAGGAGCGGCGTTCGTCTTGCCACCCCGAGAGGCTGTAATGCCCATCGGAAAAGGGAGCAACCCCGCAGGGCCGGTGCCTTGGAATGTCAGCGCTGGGGGCCCGAGGCCCAGGAGGTCTCCCCGCGTGCGCAGAGCCAGGGCTAATGAACACTATTAACCCGCTGCCTGCCGCCTCCTCATCTCTGCAGGCAGCTCAGAGCCAGGCACATCTAGCCTGTTCCCAGGGCACCTCGAACTGCGGCCTCCTCTGCTAGGTCCCACCAGCTGAGCCAGCGTGGCAGTTCAGGGAGAGGGGCTGTGGAAAGCCGGCTCAGGGACGTTCTTCCCTCTGGCTCAGATCTGTTGAGTTTTGTAACTGGTCCTAACGCTCCAGGGATGCACTCTGGGAGAGCTGGGGTCAGTAGGGTGAAACCCCAGAGTCCTGCCTCCCCCCACCTCAGGCGACAGGATTCTACTTCCCTAGAGCCCCCTGCTCACATCTGTCCTATACCCCTCTGCTGCTTCGTCCCAGAGGTGGCCCCTCGCTGGCAGAGGAGTTGGTATTCGTACTGAGGGCCCTACAAAAGTCGCAGTCTGTTCTGGTCAATTTCACAGTCATGGGATTTTAAAAATCGCACATTTCATGATTTCAGCTGTTTAAAGCCAATAATTCACAGGGCTATTTTTGTAGGGTCTGATCCAAAAGGGAGTGGGGGGGGGGGGTGTCACAAAGTTACTGTACGGGGGGTGCACTGCTGCTGTCCTGCCTTCTGCATTGGTGCTGGTGGCTGTACTGCTTGCACAGCTGGAGATTGGTGGCTGCTGGCCAGAAGCCCAGCACTGGAGGCAGGGCCACTGCCAGCAGCTGTGCAGGGGAGAGGCTTGCTGTCCGCACAGCTGGGCCCTCCGGCAGTAGCAACCACTCTCCAGCCACCCAGTTCTGAAGTCAGCATGCTGTGGGGCGGGGCACTGCCTTCAGAACTAGCACCCAACCAACAGCTGCCGCTCGCGGGCTGCTCAGGAATACGGATGGCAATGCCTACCACGATCCCCTGCACCTGCCTTTTGGGTCAGGACCCCCCGTCTGAGAAAGGCTGGTCTCCCCGTGAAATCTGTGGAGAACGGGGTAAAAGCACAAAGACCAGATTTCACAGGGGGCACGGGGAAGCCCAGATGTCAGTGGTGTGCTTTCCATGGCTGTGAATACATAAGAACGGCCGTACTAGGTCAGACCAAAGGTCCAAGTAGCCCAGTATCCTGTCTACCGACAGTAGCCAGCTCCAGATGCCCCAGAGAGGGTGGACTGAAGACAATGATCAAGCGACTTGTCTCCTGTGATCCATCTCCAGCCTCTGACAAACAGAAGCCAGGGACATCATTTCTAATAGCCTTTTATGGACCTAACCTCCATGAATTTATCTAGCTTCTCTTTAAACTCTGTTATAGTCCTAGCCTTCACAGCCTCCTCTGGCAAGGAGTTCCACAGGTTGACTATGTGCTGTGTGAAGAACTTTCGCTTATTCGTTTTAAACCTGCTACCCATTAATTTCATTTAGTGTCCTCTAGTTCTTCTATTATGGGAACAAGTAAATAACTTTTCTTTATCCGCCCTCTCCACACCACTCATGATTTTATAGACCTCTATCATATCCCCCTCAGTCTCCTCAGAGTGTGGGAAGGCCCCAGCCATGGAGCATGACATGGTCTGATCCCTCGAGGTTCTTACATGGCACCTGGCGTCTGGGCACCTACAATACAGCCCCGTGCACCTTTCTAACACTCAGTGACTGCAAGATTCATAAACCCCCGCAGGGCACGTCTCTGCCTCAGGGGCCAGCACCAGTTAATGGGTGCCTGTTTGTGAAGCACGGGCACTGCTGTCTCAGGGCTGTGCGTGGTTATTAGCTCAGGGAGGTTCCTGCCCGGTTCCCATGCCGACAATTTCCCTGTTTGCTGCTTCGTCCATAGACTTCGTAGGGGCTGGTGAGTTCTGAGCAAGCACCATGAGGTCACCTGCATCCGCCAGGGCAGGCAGTGGAGCCGTGTCCCTGGCCAGAGCCTATGACATTCCTCCCTTTGGGGACACTTCTCTCCATGAGATCCAGCTCCGTCCATGCCCAGGTCCTTGAACACCTCCCAGCCCCGCTCCCCTTCCTGGCTACTATCTGCTTCCTTGCTCTCCTTCTTGAGATGATTGCCTGGCAGATGTCAGCCCCTGAATATAACGAGAGCGTTAACCCGTAGAGCCCCGGCACTTGCCAGCACCTGGCCTGAGGACAGCGCGGCGAGCCCTGCGTGTGCCACTGCAGGCACCAAAGGGTTAACAAAGACCTGGAGATAGCAGAGGCTGAGCCTCTTGTCAAACCCAAAGGGGCAAATTCCACGTGTTGTCGGCTTGTTTTCATCCCAGCCTCTCCGCCCAGTTTCACTCCCAGCCACAGGAAGATGCGGCGGGGGGGGGGG